ACTATTCTTCTTTTGGTTTTATTAGCCGTTTTTATCTTCTGCTTTTTACTTCTTCTTGATCATTTTTGTCCTATCCAAACATTTTTTCTTTGTAATTTTTGTTTGTCTTTTTTGCATCTTTACTTTCTTCTTTTTTATTTTCTTTTTCATCGTTGGATTTTCATCTTCTTATACTTTATTTTCTTCATCTACCATTTTTGTTCTTCTTTTTCTTTCAGTTTTCTTCTTCAACTTTGAGTTCTTCATCTCCTTATCATTTTTCTTCTTCACTATTTTGTGTTACCCATCTTGATCTTATCGTTCATGGTCTAGGACTTTTTGTTCATTTTTTCCTCATTTTTTTACGTTTTCGTTAACTCTATGTTCTTCTATATGTTTCAATTTATTTTCTTTCTCTTCTTTTTCTACTTCGTTTTTCCCCTTTTTCCTTTTTCTGTTTTCTTTTTCGAATTTTTCCTCTGCGCCCTGCTAGTGTATTTGGCCTCTCTTACATTATTCCAAAAATAAATAGAATTCAGAAAGCCATACTTAAAACAAAAGACTTAAAACCTGTTCATTAGACAATGAAGATGATTTATGATATGTTGACATGGTTTTAATCACGTTAAGTAAGGAAGAATAACTGACAACACAAAACAACAACATATAATCGAGGAACACTACTACTGGTACTGAAAAACGGAAAAAATAATAGAAAAAACGAAAAATTGATTTATAAAAAAGAAAGATGGTAAACAATACAACAAAAAGCCGACCAATGTAGAAACCAAACCTCAATTGAGCTTAAGATACATTTAAAAAAGTAATATATTTATATATAGCTCTCAACTTAAGCTAATATTTTCTACATCACATGTATATTTTTTTCAGATAATCTTGCTCAACAGATAATCTGATTGAAATTATCTTAATATTATCAAAATAACTAAAAGTGGCAGCAAAATTGCTATACAAACTACGAAAATAAATTAATTAATTAAAGATATTTAAAAAAGATTTTATTAACGAATAAAGGGGAATTAGTTATCTAGATTGAATAAGAGACCTTATAGTGGAAAAATTTACTTCGCATATATTATATATGATATGATTTTAAATGTTTTTTGATTAAATTCCAATTTTAAAATTTTTTCTATTTTCTAATTTAAACATTGTTTGATTAAATTTCGATTTTTAATATTTTTTATTATATTTAAATGTTTTTGATTAAATTTCGATTTTTAACAATTTTTTTATTAATTTACGTTTTTAATATTTTATTTAATTTACAATTTTTAATAATTTTTTAATTAATTTACAATTTTTAATAATTTTTAATTAAATTTAGTTTTAAAAAATATAAGGAGAGGTAAAAGGTAATTAGCCACTCTAAAAATGAATGAGAAAGCTTATAATATATATGATCCGTTGGCTAATCAGGGACAAGTAGGGACACAAAGCTCTATGTAGATCTTATATCCAGGATGTGATATGTATTATAACAAGATAACCAAAAATTTCTGAAATTTTCTGAAATCAGTTAACTAACAACCCCTACGAAAACTTCAATTTTTCAGTAGATGTAATGAATAAAGAAACTAATCCTCCTCAATCTATTTTGGTGAGAAACTAGTTTTTTTCTTCCATAACGATTTTTTTTTTTCAAAGTGGAGTGTTTATTCATACGCAACAATAAGTTTAGTAAATCGGTCCCATTCAATGGAAAATAGCAAAATAAATAGAATGCACGACTCACACATAAATCTGGTACAACAACTTAATAACAAAACGAATGAATTAGTAGGTGAAAATCAAATTCTCAAATACATAAACTCTTAGTACTGATAAAGAAGAGAGGAGGTCCAGGACACAATTATAGCATACATAAGCAAATGGGGTGGCATGCGGTCGACGCTCCCAGAGGCTGAGTCAGCCCCAGTGGAAGGAATAGTCTTGGAACCACCTTCGGCTCCTGTGCATGGATGAGCAACGTTAAGAGAGAATATAAATTTTCATCAAGGTTTACTTAGTTTTAGTGATTAAGGAGTTTGTACCTGAACGAGCATCCGGCGATGAGGTTGGGGTTAGTGCCACACCTGGGTTCTCCTCCGCCGGTGAAACTACGGGAGGAGGTGCTGTCGGCCCAGTGGCCGCTAGTTCACAAACATTGGTGTGAGTGAAACTATATATCTTAACACGTGACATAGATTAAAATAAGGGTTTATTAGTTATCGTACTGTTGCATTGTGTGAGGGGAGGTGCCTGAATGTTACAGGCATTGGGGAGCTGCAAGGCCTGTGTGCGGTTAATGTTTAGACCGATGTTGGGGATCGGACTGTTGACGGCTGAACAGATGCACCGTGGCGAAGATTTTATGACAATGTCGAGCTGAGAGCAGCAAGCCTGTGAAGGAATGGTTGAGTTTCCAGTGATGTAGCTGAGGCACGGAGCGAGGGTGGTCAGGGTTCTCACGCATGACCTGCTCGGCTGTGCTTTTGTTACACCACATAGAACCGCCACGAAGGCTACAAATGTGATAGCGTAGATACTTGTATACCCCATAGTTTTGAGTTATTTTTGTTCAACTGTTCTGTCTTTGCTTTGGTTTTAATATAGAAGGAGTTGGTCAGAAAATGTCACAGAGATTGGTATCGTTGGATGACCTACTATTTTACATAGTCTATGGTTTTATCATAACAAAATACAATATATATATATATATATATATATATATTGTTAAAACTTCAGCGCCACGTAGACATGATGCATGGTCATATATATCTGTGTAATCTCTATTTGATTATAGGAACTTAAAGATTGTAATTACCTAGTAAAAAAATTAATTAATAGGAGTATACCAAACTCACCTACTAGCTCTTGGTTACTTAAATATATAGTACTATATATGGAACTTCTGTGTTCATAAGGAGATGGTTATATTAGTTGGAAGTTGTTGAACTCCAATGCACCCATTTGATCGTGTATAAATAAAATTATGACTATGAGCTATGCATCTTAACCGGAGAATGAACCGAGCCAAAATGGGAGGATTAACATTGATAGTAGTGATGATGTCAAGCTTAATGTTGGGAGGGACAGGTCAGCAGATAATTAGCACGCCATGCACCTCCTCCATGATCTCTACCTTCACTCCATGTCTCAACTTCATCACCGGAAGCAGCGGCGGTTCCGTCACTCCCACCGCCGGCTGCTGCGACTCCTTGAAGTCATTGACCAACACCGGCATGGACTGTGCTTGCCTCATCCTCACCGCTAATGTCCCGCTGCCTACTGGCTTCATCAATCGGACGCTCTCGCTAGCTCTCCCTCGTGCCTGCAAAATGAGCGGTGTACCTTTTCAGTGTCAAGGTTTTAGCTTAGCTCTGTCTCATTTATTTATTAATTTTCGTTATGATCATATGATTAATGACTCATATAACTTTTAATTTACAGCGGCGGGGACTCCTCTACCAGCGCCAGGTTTTTTAATGAAACCGGTCACTATATATATATATATATAATTTTTAGTTGATTTCACTATTTAAATAACTAATGTATTGGGCAGGTCCGGTTCCATTTCTGCTGGCTCCACCACCGCCTATTGCTGCTTTTAGCCCCGGGGGTATGTAATTGACCATCCACAATCATTATGTTATGCGATTTGGTGTTTTTGGAATTTGATTTTGGACTCATTTGATTAGCGTCTAAGGCGGCTGTGACAGCGCCGGCACCGGCACCAAATGCTCCCGTTGATGGAACGATGGGCCCCACGGCCACACCAAGAATTCGACCAGTGGTTCAGCCCTTGCAGCCCACCAGCCTCGCTCAATATTCAACTTCTGATCCATATCTTGCCTTCATTTTCTTTCTCTTCACTCTTATCACTTTGTTAAATTTGTAAGCTAGTCGGCGTCTCCTTGTTTAAAGTTATTTACTCTTATCTATGTGTTGTCAGTTACTTTCATTATGATTCGTCGGCCGTTACATATACAAAGTTGGTTAACAGATTTTGTATATTCTGACGTCACAATGAATATCTTACAAGACCAGAAAGAAACACATACATACAATCAGAAAACGCAGATGGCTATTAACGGAGATGGGAACACCCAACAAACTCCACTCTTTGGCTTATTCACCCAACGGTGTTGGATGGATACTCGCAAAATTCAGCCTTTCTTCTTATTAGCTATCCAAATACCAAAGAGTGGATATCAATTAATTTACTTAGAAAGTTAAAGAATACTTTTGCAATACAATGAAAACACACCACTTGCTCTCCCAAAGAGAGGGATTCTTAGACTTACACCGAACTGAGAAACTTGTCCATATTATAGTAACAAAAATAAATATAATATGAATTACAACATATACGACTAGAGAAGGGTCTAGTCTCGACCATCGTAATAACTACACGGTAAGACAGAAACTAGACTTTCCTATTGAAAATCTCCTTTGTACAGGTCAAATAACTCAAACATGTAAAACAGTTTTTTGGATTTAAATAAATTTTACATTCAATTAGTTACATGATTAACCGGGATGGTGCCTTGAGATAAAAGGCGATCCCGTGCGCTGTTTCAAGCCTCTTCAAGAGCTTTCTTGATGTCTTTCTGCTCACAGAAAACATGAATCCGAATCACGACAATGACAATAATAGATTATACAGACATGATACGATATGGAGACGTAAAGAATGCATACCTCGATTGATAGCGGTGTAACCATGGGGCCGTAACGATCAATCACTAGGCCATCTTTGCCGACCAAGAACTTGGTGAAGTTCCACTTAATTCTGGAACCCAGAAAAGAGGGTTTACTTGCCTTGAGGAACTTGTAGAGTGGTGCTGCATTTTGACCGTTTACGCGTACCTAATCCCACATCCACATTCACATATGGATTTCTGATTACATTTGATCTAAATATACCAATTACCACAAACAAGTTATAGCTACCTAACATAGTAACTTAGTAAGTAACTCATTCCAAGCGTCTTGATCACTAGAAGAAGAAAAAAAGAAGATTTATCTTATAGCCTTAATTACCTACCTTTTGGAAAACAGGGTATTCGGCCTGAAACCGTGTACAAGCAAACTCATGAGCCTCTTGACTTGTGCCGGGCTCCTGGTTAAGAAACTGGTTGCAAGGGAATGCCAAGATCTCAAACCCTGATATAATGATAGTAATAAATTAATCAACAAAAAAAAAAAAAAGAGACAAAAAAAAAAAAAAGAGAGAGAGAGAAGAAGACCGTGGTCCTTGTATATCCGGTAAAGTTCGGTGAGCTGGGTATAATTGGATTCGGTGAAACCGCTGTTTGCACAAAACATCAATCACTAAGAAGAACGAAAGCAAGCGGGTAATTTTGTGAAAGAGAGACGAACCATTTGGAAGCGACATTGACGACGAGGAGGACTTTCCCTTGGTAAATGCTCAAATTCAACTCCTTGCCGGAGCTATCCTGTGATTCCCAGGAAACAATAATAATCACAAATCAGAGAGACGACTCGACCGAATCACAAAAAGGTTTTTTTTTGTTTTAACCTTTACGGTGAATTGATGGACGGATCTCTCGGGAACCGAAACAGAAGCACCCATCTCTATCTCAAATTGAAAATTGAATTTTTTTTTAAAAAAAAAGAGACTTTCTGAGGAGCAGCAGGGCACAACCTGTATTATTTTAACCTTCGTAACGACCGGTTTCCGCGCCTTACTGTGTGGACTCGTTTCTTCCTTTCTTTCTTTTTTTTCAAGTCTCTCTAATCTCTCTCTCTCTCTCTCCCCTGCTTCATACATTAGTAAAAAGCAATCTCATGAATTGTTGCCTATTTTAAAAAAATAATCCAAGAGCTAAAGTATTCTCTGCGAAGAGGTCAATTCTCTGTACTACTACTATTATTATTCATGTAAAAAGATGTCTACTCAATCAAATTCCACTTCAAAAATAACATCAAGAAACACAGGCGTCAAAGTAACAACTATACAACTGGAAGATTATTATTCTAAGAGAATGAATATACATCATACACTCCAAGGTCAAAACCCACATAACCAAATAATGTTGACAAAAAATAAAAAACAAGCAATAATAAAGAAAGCAAATGAGAGCAGCAAGATATACTAAACTCTTCTCAATCTCTACAACTGGCTTCTTTCTACCATCTTCTCACTCTCTCTGCTTTGCATGAGGTTCTGATTCCAAAAGAAACATCATATCATATGTACACTCTCACTTCTTCATCATATCACACTATTTCCTCTCCATTACTCCCACTACTAGCCATTCTCTTTTTAAATTTCAGCCAGATCACCTCGGTATTTTTGCTTTTTTGCTTTAGACCACCACCCTCCAGTTTACTACTTTCCGTCTCTCTCAAGTTTCTCTAGTCACCTCTCTGATGCCACATGCCGGGATCTGCAAAACAACAAATAAAATTCGGGTTTATTGCCTACGAATCTTTTACTCCATTCATTAAATGCCAAAATAAACCTCAACTGTCAGAAGATACCCATACTACGACTCCACTCCCACGAAAAAAAAAAATGTTATGTGTGGCTCACTAGGAGATGAGTAAACAATTGGCCTTTCATGTCTCTAAGGTTGTTCATTCCAAGCAAGAGTGGATTTCCAGATAAACACAAAAGTATTTAAAGAGGCCACGGAGCATAAACGTCTCATATTTCCTTACCTCTCATTCCAACTGGAACAGGTCCTTCAGAATGCGGCTTAGGGTGAAAAGAGTGTCTGTTGTTATATCCACGATGAGGATGATTCCACCGGTGGTTTTGGTACCTTCCAGACTCACGTGGAGGGCCACCATTGTATGAACTGGATGGAAAAGGGCCTTTATGTTTGTCTTGATATCTTGAACCTGCGAAATAATCATATCAGATTTACCATTCCCACGTCATTAGAAAGCACCTATGACTGTTGTCATGCATATATGTGCGCATATAATATATGTATGTCTAGTTAACAGACGTATGGAAGTAAAAGGCCTAACCATAAGAAGAAGATGGTGGATATCTCCAATTATCTCGGTTCTCGTATGATGCATGCCTCATTCTCTCATGGTTATCATGAAAATTCCTTTCATCAAAGTTCGGCACATACTGAGATCTGTGCGAGTACGATGGACCATCCCTACGTGATTTCATATGGTGGTCCGGCTCTGTATATGAGTATTGATGCTGTGGTGGAGGGGGAGGAGGATGTGGATGAGATGTATAAGGCCTATGCTGGAAATTAGAACCATCTGCCTGTGGCATGCTATTCGTCAGTTGTACACCGGAACTATAAGATGACTCCTGACCTTGATAATGCATTGTGTTTCCAGGCAGTGGCGGATTCATCCTTGGAAGACCAGCCTGATGATCTCCCTGCATATTAACCAGACACAATATGATAAGCGACTATATCAAGAATTATCATCATGTTTATTGTAAGAGGATCCTAAAACGAGAAAAGGGACGTACATGCATGTTGGAATATCCACCACTGTCAAAGCCATTTGAGTAGGAATCAGACATGGCACACTGAGCCTGCTGTGAAGGGGGAGCTGGTGGCGGAGGTGGAGGTGGTGGCGAGGAAGATGGCAGTGGTGGAGAAGACAAGGATACATGCTGATGTGAAATGCCAGAGACAGGCGGATGCTGTTGTCCAATCTGACAGTTGGTAGACTTTGTTGTGTTATCGGGTTGATCAGTGTGCGTGCAGTTTCCAGTTTCCCAGGGCGGAGCCACATCTTCCATTTCAAGCTCGCCATCAACATCTTCCAATATAAGCGTATGCTTTTCAGCAGTAGAGGACGAGACATTTTCTTCAAAGATTCTAGAGTCATGTTCAGGGGTGACAGACTCAAAATCCCCTCCATCCGAGTCACTCCCTCCGTCCTCATCCTTAAGCATTGCGGGCATGCAAAATCCAGGGAGCTGGAGAGTTGAATTACTGACATGCAAAGATGAATTAGGTTAACGAAGCAGGAGACAAAGAAACAAAGAGAGATTAAAAAGACCCAAAATCTAACCTTCCATATTCATCCACCAACATACCCTCCATATCTCTCACAGGATCATCCAACGACCTTTCTGTTCGAGCTGAGCGCCGAGAATAGAGGCAAGCAGGAACTATACTATGTGAATCAAGTTCTCTTATATGGTGACGGACAATAGATTCGGGCAGAATCCGTCTTTCAAGCCAAAGCCTCAAAACCTATAAATAGCAGAAAGGTTGAGAAACAGTAATGATATGAAAGAGCTAACAAATTTTGTTGCACACCTTTAAGCACTGTCTTCGATTTTCTTGTGTGGTAGCTCCAGCAGGGACAGCAGCGGCCAATAGGCGAGGTAAAATTACTTGAATGGCTGAAAGATAAACACAACCAGCATCACCTGAAAAGATGGGCAGTATTCAATGGTCAATTCCACTATTAGAACTTTGCTGATGCAGCTATAAAAAAACACATTTCTCTATGACTTACCTTTCAGACTTTTGGAGCATTGAGCAATAGAATCCACAAGAAAAAATAAGTCCACCCTCCTCTGTAAATTTGACTCACTTTCCAAAGCATGGGCCAAAATCTCCATTGCCTAGTTCAGGAAGTTCATCAAAAGACTTATTAGCAACGACTAATGCAAACAAGAATGCTCCCACGAAACAGACTAAAACATGAGTCATCCTTCTTCATCAACTAGGTAAACAAAAAATAAAGTCAAATAATCTATTGTAACTCTGCCTCTGATGGCTGTCAACAGCATCCTACGAACAACGGGCATTATTCAGATCCCGTAGCTTTCACACAAAATTATGATCGACTAATCAAAATTATTATGTGGTCTCTTCTATCTTGAAGCTACATATTATTCTATCTCACGGGCTATAGAAAACGTTGCTTCACAAATACAAGCAACATATCCAGGTACTACAATACTAACAATCAATTAGTAAGGAGGATGCCAAAACCAAAAATGTTGAACCTCTACGTGACTTGTAGTAGCAAGAAACAGGTAATCAAAATCAGAGGATAGGAGAAATCTTCTACCTTTGCAGACACACCAAATTTCATTAAGTCCATAGCCAAACGCGTTGCTCGGCCAATACTCTCCTTTGTCCTCACCAATGAACTAAGTGCATCCTCAAAAGATTCACGAGTGGATTGCACATCTGTACTAACAACTTTCTGTCCCTGAAATACACCTGTATCGGCTTTTTCTTCTTCTTTAACAGTGGCATCACAGACAGTTTTCTTCTCACCAGACTGAGCATTTGGGCTGCAACTACCGTTGTTCTGCGTATCATTTGCACTTTCTGCGGTAGACATATGGTAAACTGAGTTGCTATGTGGACTCCCCCTCGCAAAAGTGTCTGCAATATTAGCAGGAGATAAACTCATTTTCTCACGTGAAAGGTTCTCAGATACTGATACAGAATTGTTTGTTTGGACCTGCTGCTTTTGATTATCAACCTCACCACTGCAAAAGCACACGGGTATACACTCTTGTTAGTCAACTAGTTTTGTGATGAAGCACAAGATTGCCTTGTCACTGGACCATATTAAGATAAGAAAGCTGAATGTTACTGGTGTCTGCCTACAATTACATACGCCAATCCTCTAAAATCGACTCTAATATGTAAAATCAAATCATAATAGGAATTGAAATACCTAAAAGGAACAGCCCTAAAGGACAAGGTACAGAGAAGATATGTAAATAATGAGAAACGGAATTTATCAGTGAAAGTCTAGTGTAGACAGATTCCTAGTTATGTCCTACACCATTTTAAGTATGAGGACTCCAGAAGAAATTTATTGTGAACTTAGGACTGAACCAGTCAGAATTTCAAAATACTTCTAATCCGTTGTGCACACAAGATAATATTCGCGAAAACAAGAGGTACAAGAAACACTAACAATGGATACTAGCATTAAAAGAAAATATTCACAAGAACAAGCAGAAGAGAGACAGTACAGGAAATACTAAGAATAGAGACTCACATTATTTCGAGCTGCCTACTGTTCACAACAATGTCCTCACATTTGCTGTACCTTGTTTCATTCCGAGGTTCACTTTCATCAACTATCACATCAGTTTCAGTCGGGGAGATGGGTGGATCTGGTGTAGTATGAGATGGATTGACATTATCATATTCTTCACTCAGCCTTCCATGCTCTTCTTTCAACAGCATGTTTTCAGCCTTTTGCATGTTCTCAGCCTCCGGCTTATTCACCATCGAACAAGATGATGGAGAATGTTCTAAAGCCTCAGACAGAACAACGCAAGCATCCTTTCTATCGCCCTCTTCATTCAGAGGTTCACGATAATTGTCCAATAAATCACAAGCATCATTTCTATCGCCCTCTTCATTCAGAGGTTCAAGATAATTGTCCAATGAATCACAAGCATCTTCGTCCTGGCTTCTGTGATGGCCAGGCAATTGAGGTATCCCTGATGAGCATATCCCAGAGGTCTTGTTTTCAGATGAATCCACAGTATTGGGATCCAAGGGGGTTGCAATTTCAGAATACTGATCCAAGCATTGTACGGCTGGAAGATCAGAGTCACTAGTTGGAAGCTTCATGGGTTGTGAATCCCCAGGGCACGCAGCTTTAGGAGCACTAGCTTTCTGAGCTTCTCCGGTCGGCGAACGGATAACTTGATTAGATTGGGGTCGAGCTGCCTCATCATAAGGTGCCTTGCTAAGCTCATTCCACCCCATAGCATATTCTCTATCGCCAACACTCTGAACGCAAGCCTCAGATGAAGGCATACCGTCAGAAGTTTTCTCCACAGGAGATGGTACTACATTACCCATGTCACCTGAGAGCTTAGCGGCAGACACCTCAAAAATGTTAGATTCTCCGGCCACGGAAGTATCCTGACTAGAAACGATATCAGACGGGCTTGTCTGCACTGTTACACTGACCAAAGTGTCCTTGGATGATCTTTCTTCAACCTGCAAAGAGCCATTGGCCTCATGATCAACATAAAATGCTCTACTCATCCTGACTCTGGCACGTTTAACCAGAGGCAAGTGCTCATCACCGTTCTCTTCACAAGGCCTTTCAGTAAACCTTTCATCAGAATTTTGTGATGTCTGAATGTTCTCATATGTTCCAGCCTCAAGAACTGCTTCAGCTTCAACTTTAGCCGGAAGATCAACAGCATCACTAGTTCCACGTTTCCTGGTAGGCTTTCTCTTCTTTTTTTTAACCATGGTATTGATTTGGAAATTAAGCCCATTGTTGCACTCATAATCTCCTTTGAGAAACTGTCCACCGGTATCAGAATGTTTGACTTTGGAACCAGAATCTACACCATTGCCTTCATTCCTAGTATTATTATCAGATTCGACCGTCGCAATTTCAGAGGCATTTTCTTCGTCACTTCCATGAGTTGATGAAGCCACATCATCTGATTCAGAGTGACCTGATGATCTTCTAATCCTTTTTCTCCTTCTTAAGGCTCCATCTCCCACGTCATCAATACTCTGTCCACCATCGCTGTATTGCAACATGGAGCTTTGAAGCTTATCTGATTGCAACCTTGATGAACTTTTAGAGCGCTGATCCAAAGATTTATTTTTTTGCGGAGCACCCTTTTGTGATCGCGCCCCTCCATTTCTTCTCCTAGAAGAATATGTTGCTATTCTACGTGGTTCGTTAACGACTGAAATGTCAGGTGCTTTGTTAGGTGGTACACTGTTGTCACGCAGGGCTAGCATTTGTTCAGCAGCTGAAGCATCCTCACTTAGCAGAGCAGATTCATCTCCACCATGACTAGGATCAGACTTAATTTGTGTATCAAGGCTTGTCCCAATTGGATCTTCACTGACCTGAGGCAGCAGTGTAGTATTCCCAGCATTCCCAAGAGTGGTTTCCTCAGCAGATTTGGGATCACCGGCTTGCTCTTGATGCTTCAACTTCTCATAACTCTCTGTTATCTCCTTTACAGCACGAACAAAATCAGACCCTTTTGCATGGCGTTTCGTCAAAAGTGATTGCTTCTTCTCCTCTGTAAATGCTTCAACATCAGCAGGATTGCAGAAAGCTCTGCAAATGAATATAAAATAACAGCAAATGTCACCAACTCCATATGATTACATACAAGAATTAATTCTCACAGATATTGAGGGTGACGCAGAAAACAAGCACTGAGAAGTCTAAGTCACCATTTTTTTCAGTTCACCGATCAAATTTGGTTCTTGCACAGTTGGGCTGCTGTTCACAGCGTACTTTTTAGACTACAATGAATTCATCAACATTTTCTATTCAACCTAACAGACTGAGAACAGCTTCCAACGGAGAGCATAAATAAACTTTATACTCGTGTACGTACTCTTATAATAATCATCAGAAATGGAAAAGCTGGCAGGAGGTCTTTCAGGGGGAATACAAATTACTTAACAAGATGAGCTATATTGAAGCCTATAAACAAGGCTACTGATTGATTCACGCTAATCAAGGGATCAAAGGTCATGACTTGACCAGTGACAAAAAGGAAAATACAAGATAGAGAAAATATGAACATTCAAATTAAAACCTCAGCATTCAACCACATCCAATCAGTAGAAAAAAAAAATAGATAAAAGAGAGGGTAAGAGGAAGGTAAAGAGATGAAAACTCACATCTGTTGTGTTCCAAAAAAGTGAACCAGCACTTTCTTCCAATCAGTAGAATATCCCCACTTTTCCGGCTCACTAACCTGAAATCGCATTCAGCAATAAGTAGACAGGGGCAAGCAATCGTAAAATAAGGCCTAAAACAGGAAAGCGCTGAGAGAGACGAGGATGCTAAGCATATTACCACAAAAAATACAGACCTATGAAATTATTATGATGCGGCAGAGGCTGAAACAATGAGAAATTATATAATTTTTTTTGTGTTCCCGTCTCTACTAACAACAACGACAAAGGAAGAAGTGAAACCTCAGTTGAAAACCGAAAGAAAGATCCAACCTAACAATGATTTAATGGTTCTAAAAACACGTATAAAGATAGACCCGATTTACGCCCATCGGGGGAAAAACTAGGAAACATATATAGATAAGCCATCCCGAAAATTTACAGATTAAAAAATAATAGGCAATAGATCACATACCGCGGCAGGCCAAGCAGGAAAACCTTTGACTTTGGCAAGCACAAGGTCGCCCACCTTCCACTGACGGCAGGCGGCAGCTACGGCGGCAGCCTTACCACCGCCTTTCCTGCGGCTGGGAGCCATTAAGGTAAAGCAAAAACGAAGCGGATTTCCTCCTAGGTCTCCAAGTAAAGCAAGAATCGGAGGCGAAAACGGACAGATAGGGAGTGTCTAGGGTTTTCGGTGAGGGATTCCCCAGATGAACTCGCAGGCATTGAAACCCCGGCCCAATCGAAAGTAGTGGGCTAGCGAGACGGCGAACCCTAATTGAGGCGGAGGCGGAAGAGAGAAGGAGACGATTGATTGTTTCGCTTGATTTTGTGGAAGAAAGGGGATTCACACAAACAAATCAAATCAAAAAAAAAAAAAACTGATTATTATTGGGTTCGGGTCCTGTTAACATGCGCCTGCGATGCGTAGGTTAACAATTCTCGTTTCTGCAGCAGGTCACAAACACGTGACGTAGATATCTCTGCTCGTGAGCCAACCACACTATTCTGTCTGTCTACTTCAAAAAATCCAAAACCCAATAAACTAATGGGTCTCGACATGGCCCATTTAAGAATGACGACTTCTTTTGGGTCACCCAAAAGAAGTCACTGAACGACCCAACCAGCGAAATTATAAAAACGTAACCAAACCCCTTAGAATCCACAACGGATTGATCTCAAGCTGCAGAGTCGCGAGAGTCGTTTGATCATCGCAAAATGCCAATTCTCCGTACCTGGTAGCACCATTGGATCCGAGAAGCAAAAACTCAAGGCCAAACGGAAGAAGAGATGGTTGTTGTCCAGAGAGATTGTCAGCAAATTCTTCCAAGCTCTCATGGAGTATTTAATGCCACATTTTGATTTGGAAATTTTTGTGACCAAAGTTCGTGAATAATCGTCGGTTTTTCTTCAAAAAAGACCTCTTGATATACTACTATTCATGTTACCTAACCTACCACTTCAAGTTAAGGGCCAAATCAAGAATGGCTTCAACTTGACGGATGGTTCGCTTCTTCTCCTGCTGCTTCAACTTACGTGCTATAGCTTCAGGGTCAAGCCCTTGTCCTTTATTACCAGCTTCCTCCTCGTCTTCCTCTAATATTCTCACTTCTTGTAGCAATGCATCCACTTCTCTTACAAAGTCTACTCTCAGAAGGGTGTTGTCTGTCTCATTGGGGGGTCGTAACCGTCCTTGATGCTGCAAACACAGCGTGTGTGAATTGATTGATTTTTTTCTTTTTTCCTCTTTTTTTGTGTGAAAAGGTAAACAACAATTAAATAAAGAAAACAAAGGGACGCACCATATCAATGTCGAATCCCGGTGGCATAAGAATGCTGAAGGGGTCTTCCCGTGGGAATGTCTCAGCCATTAGTTTTCTGCAGTCTTTCATCCAAGCATCTTCTCGAAAGCCATCATGCATGTTTAGAAGATCATTCAGCAGTTTCATCGCAGGACTTGCTTGCCGTTTTAAGATCTCTGTCTGGATAAGCCAAATAGATATAAGGACTCAGTTTCAGCTTTGCATCTCCTCCTAATTCAAAGCCAAAATCCCAAGTACCGGGGAAACGCTAATTCTAAAATCGAGTTTCATGAATTAAGTAGCACAACAACGATCATAAAAAGAGTAGGCCATATTTGACATCTTCCTTGACATTTGTGACAAAAGCTTGAAGATGTCCAGATATATAAAAAAGCATCAGCAGCTCAAGATCGTGTATAGAAAACAAGAATCCACAGAAACACCTTACCTCGACTCTTCTATATAAGAGATCAAGACTTCTTATGGCATCTTTCTCATCCTGAAAGTAACACAGGAGTGAGTAAAGACGTACACAATACACACGCCTGAAATCATCACATTATGACAAAGGAACAGATCTTACATCGCGCCGAGCAAGGTCAAGGCGGTTCCAAATGATCATGAGAACAAGTTCGTCCAGTTCTCCTTTCTCGGCTGCTTCTTCAATTCTCTATACAGAATTCTCCTAATCAATCATGCTTGACTTCTTATATATATATATATATATATATATATATATTGATTGATTTCTGTGTTTCATTACCTCTTCGACTTCCTCAGCAGCTGTGATGAAGCTGGAGACGAGCTTTCTAGCTTTCCTCAAGTCTTCCTCAGGAAATTCCTTCAACCTCATGCCGATTTCACGGTACTCTTCAATCTTCCTCTCCTCTTCTTCTTCTTCCTCCCGCTGCATCCGCCGCAATTCCTTGGTCTTCTCTCTCTGTCGAGCTTGCCATTCCTGATTTCAAAAACCCACCTACCGACTTAGAAAATTTAGACTGAAACGAAAGGATGATGAGACGAACATACATACATCATCATAATACTCCGGTGGCATTCCTTCTAAAAGCACTTCTTCTTTTCCCGAGCATCTTCGCACGACGAGAAACTGACCTGTAGAAATCGTCAGCGTCTTCAAGGCTACCCTAGGCCGAGGACTTAACAGAGGGGATGCGCACGTCAGCGCTGCGCAAGTTAGCGCCAACGACGTCGACACCATGGTCGCCGAGCTTCGAGTCGGTCGTCTGTAATCTCTCTCTCTCTCTCTCGTTCCGTTCCTTGGTGACAATGCTCTGGGATCTGGGTTTAATTTGGGCTTCCCCTTTCCTGTATTTCCAATTTCTCAAATTAAATCCCGTAGTGGATCACATTGTTTTCAATTTCCCAAATTAGACCCGCCTAGACTTAGTGGATAATGTTTGGGTTTATACCCAGACCGGTCGAACCGCGACCCGGTAGCATATCCTGTTATTGAACATGATACCAATTATCCGATATTGTCTCCAACCAGACCGGAAACTGCGATTGATGTTTATGGTTTTCTTTTTTGCGATTGACGTTACTCTCTTTTAATTAATTAATTAAACCTACTGTACTTTGGCGAATAAAAGTGATGATCACACGGTTTAGATAGAAGCCGAGTTGATGATACTGTGTCATAGTCGTAAGGCTAAAGCTGATGGCAAGTCTCGACGATCAATTCAGTAGCTGCACCCATAGTCCCAAGGCCGCCGGCGCAGAGTAGAGCAAGAGCCAAGTCTTCCTCGTTCCACTGCCTCAAACTTTTGCTTAGCCTCTTAATCACTCCTACATCCACCTCTAGCACCCAAGCCGGCGTGCATTGCACCATCAGGCTCACAAAACCGGTCACGTAAGCTTGCCATGTCGCCCAGTCGCAACCCAGCGATATCTTCCCTTCCAAGGCACTCACCAGGAACTCCAAATGCAGCCACAGAACCCTTGGTCGACGTTTTGAGGCAGGAGATGACGAGTCCACTCCCCAAGCGAATGCACTGCTCAGGATTGCAAAGTAGGCCAAAGCATAGCCTCTTAGCATCGGGACCATACCTCCCAGCTCGTCTTCTTCTCCGTGAACTGAGATGAACCAAGATGGTAATGTCTCCTTGATCAGGGCCTGAACCAGGTTCAAGCCACCGGAAATCCACACCAGCGAGGCTCCCAGGGAAGCTGCCAGCTTCACACGTGTCATCGCCAACGACAGTGAAACCTGCCCAATCCCGTACCTCGACCCATCTTTTGTTTTCCTCAGTCTCTCTGCTTGCTCTGTTGGTAGCTCCCTAGCGGCGATGCTCTTCACAGAGAACATCAGAAGCGAGAGGATTTCTTCGGTCAGGAACATCACATCTCTGATCGATCGGTGCACTTTTATGTACAAGATTCCTGGTGCAGCTGTGGAGATTCCACCAGGGTATAGAGAGCCAAAGCCATGGCCAAGGAGTGCGCCTACTCCCCCATAGCTGCAGAGTTGGGAGGTAGGTGTTAAACCCAAAGTGCAAGTGAAGCAGCTTCTGAGGAGCTGAATAACAGCATCGCTGTTGTGGTGAAACACAGTTCTGGAGGCTGAGAAGATGAGAAAGTCGCTCCAGCGCTTCACTTTCTGGGTCCACAGCGAGGTCACAATCGGCATGCAGGGCCAGGGGCAAGCGGCAGCAAGGGAATCCAAGGCCGGTCCGACAAGTACAAGGAAGCGCTCTGTTGCTTTCTCAAGCTTGTAGGTTATAGTGAGGCTGACTAGTGCAGCGAGAGGCAAAGGAAGTGTAGCCGCAGAGATTCCATCTGCAACGACAGACAAACGTGCTTAAGCGTATTGAGGTTAACCAGCGATAATCATTGTTTTCACTTGTTCCAGCGTGTTATATTCACACTTTCTCTGCAGCAGTTTTAAATATATAAAAATTGTTTACAGAGACATGCTGTCAGGGACTGCCATGTCCCCATAAAGGGTTCTAACCTTTCATGTACGAAAATCCCAGAACCTGAGAAAATCCATAATCCTGCGAGAGACGAAAAGTATTACCTGCTGGAAGCCTTGGGACATCAACGCCAGTAGCTGCTAAGATCTTCTCTATCTGTTGCTCAACGCTTGCCAAATTTGCTGCAGGACTAGGCCAGTCAGTTCCGTTCATGGAAACTGGCTTCCACAGACCTCGTGTTACTTCCGAAGAAAAGTAGCTAACCATGGTTCCTAGTGTTGCTGGCAGAAAATCGGCTAGGATTTTAAGACCTGAAAGAATTCAAGGAGACAGATTTAGATAATGCCCACCCCCACTAATATCTGCCTTTTGGAACAGCGTTTATGATGCATCCAGACCTTTGACGCTACAATAGCTTATAAATAGCACTGTCAGATGAAGATAAGTAGCCCCTTGTCCATATTGGTTTCATTAAGGTGTCAAATTCTATAGTTTCAGGGGAAAGAAGAAAACCTGTTGCTAGTTCCCGGGGAGAGAGTGATCCATGAGCACAGGCAGTAAGAGCAGCATCAAGCACAAATGGGGCCGCTTCCAAGATATCCCATGCAGGTAACTTGAGTTGATCAGAAGAGTCGTCCACCCCGGAAGTAGATAAACTACTGCTCCCTGAAGATGGAGTCAGTGACTGACTACCACCTTTACTCGCCTTCTTGAACATCATGCTAAGGAGGGAATCAACAATGTGATGCACTGGGCTTCCTGTCTTTAGTTCAGAGAGAATTGAAGCCATACATTCCTGATGCTGCCTATACCACTGTTTCAGCCTGGGGAATGAATCCATGAAGATGGGTTCTACAGAGATATCTATGACTTTCGAAAATCTTCGACGTGCCATGCGATCCTTTGGGGACTTTCCGAAACATTCTAGACGGCAATTTCTCACTAATAAAAGATACTCAGGGCTTGGTTGAGGGCCCACCGGCGGAACATCTCCCAAGACATAATCTAGTGGTGGATGATCAAATCTCCATAATCGTAAAAGAAGTGTAAATGCAGTGGAGAAAACAGCATGAGAGGAGATTACTTCGCCAGTTGGGAGAGTCCATGTAACGTTCGGAATACCAGAGCCAAATGCCTCACAGATTGGCATCAAAGCACCAGCAAGCAAGGGGACCTGGCAAAAGAACACCATACATACTATATGATTGAAAACAGCATATTCTTATTCATTGTCAGATAACATAAGTTAAAGAAGAGAAAACTAGGTTATAGTCAACAAGACCTACCACACCGTGCAATGAGAAAATCTGAACACAATCTACGGGTGATATCCCAACAAGAAGAACATTAAGAAACGGGGCAGAACTAATTAGATGGCTATAACTCCCAGATAGATCAGCTGGAGCCGGAGGCGAGAGTAAAGTTACGATGAAGATAATAACATGCTCCTGAAATGAATCAGAGATGGGGTTAACATACAAGATGGGGTTAATCAGAAAAAAGATCTGAGTCGAGCAATGGGCGGTACGCCAATAAAACTTTCTAGAAAATGCAGATCACAGAAATAGAATCTAAATGCCAAACCTGTATGCTCCAACCACGAAATAGAGATGCTCCACAGAGAATAGAAGCCGCGGCTATCTTCTCATCTTCTGAACCAGTAGTTGCAACCTCGTACATCTTTTCAATCTCTGCTAAGCTTCCATCATATTAATGAGCTTGATTTCAGTTGCCTTACAAATGAGAAAGTTACAAACAAAACAAAAAAAAAGCAATCTCCACTTACGGAGTCTTGGAAACAGACGATATAATTGGTAAAAAAACATTCACAGCTAGAAATATGTTTTCCTACTGATGCCCCTTTTAAACCAATGACCTAAAGAGAAAAATAAACAGAGTTCGATCATAGGTTTAACATACCTAGAAGCTGGGGTTGTGATTAGTGAATTTGTCAATGATGGTGTTAGAGGAGAACCCTTCATCACTAAAGACCAACAAGAAATACTTCCGGCGATACCTTGAGGAACTTGACTGGTTCCCACAATTACGAACCCTGGCCAGAGATATGCAGATGTGTCTAGCAGATTTCTGGAGATACAAGCTTCCACTACCAGATGGCGCATGTTACCAGCTGTGTCAAAACATGTCACAATTACATAACCATTCACATTCAAACAGACAGTAAAAAGTCCATATTGATGAGGAACAATAAGCCAACAAGCACGAGGGTAGAGAGAATTCTAACAAACAACCCCGATGAATAACCTGAAGCCGTAAGAACACCAAATAAAACCAGAACAGGTACACACACACACACAAAAAAACAAAAAAAAACATGTTTAGAGTAAATAAGGAAAAGCACACTCTTGGTAACAATTCAAAGCCAGAATGCTGGCGCAATTTAACATTGAGAGAGTAGATGGCAAGTTTACTTACAGCAGCCACTTGCAGATTCGTTCATGCTTGTATTTTCATAAGATCCACTACCATTTGTAATGCCGGAAATGAACATTACTGCTTTAGCAGCAGCTTGATTGGCAACCGACTGTACGGAAAGAGGTGGAGTCAGCAAGCTTTCATAATCACCAAGTTGTTGTAAGCTATTGACTAATCCCTGTCGGCATTTTCCTTTTTTCTCTTTCCACTGGTTGCTTGGGCTAGATGCACTCTGATCAATCCACTGACTTTCTTCTTCTTCGATGATGTTGGCAACTGCAAGTGGAGTTACGGATAGTAACACACAAAGAAAAGTGTCGGTGCGAGGCACAGGACCCTCGATTGGATCTCTTTCCTTCAAAATTACAACATATTAGTCAATACCTTCTAATTATGAATAATGCCCTAATTTTATATGTGGAACAGAAGTTGGTGCGTCACACATTCAGATAATATTTCCATCATAAGCATGAAATCGCAATTACGCAGAAATTAATTATCCTAGAAGCACCAAAAAAAGAACAACCTATCCTACCGCTAAGAGTTTAAAATTCTTAGTAGTGTCAAGATAGGTTCCTACCCTTTGCACAAGGCGTAAGGCTGCTAGCCATAGAGCTAGAAAGGCATCATGCCATGTTGTACTAATAGCTGCCTGCAATGCTTTTACAAGACCTGCAAATATTTGCTTATGTTCAGATAAAGCCCATAATTATGAGTATGTAGATATTAGGGAAAGATAAATGCAAGAGCAAAAATAGAGATAAATCTACTAGCACCGGTTAGATTTTCGACAGCGCTGGCTGCTGCAGCTTGTGTGCCATCCATAATGTCTTCGAAAAAAAGATCAATGGGCAGCCAAAGTGCAGACTCACTAGTCCCATGATACTGACTAGTCAATGCTAACTTAGAACCAGAAGAGACAGTCGCATGAAACTCCCCTCGTGGAATGGTCTTGCTCTCCCTTTCCAGAAACTTACGTGTATGAGACGCCAACTGTCTAAGGGCTTCTGGATTAATATGTTTTGAGCTCCTCGCTGCCAATGATTTGGTTGCCAGCACTCTAAAACGCTGACTGAAATCTTCCCAGTGAGTTGGCCTGAAGAGAAAGGAAACTTAGAGGGCTTGGTTGAGAAAGATCTGAAGAAGATGTTACATTTCAATTCACCTCATCAGGCCAGCAGTGTCCACAATGATACGAGTCAGACTACTAACACAAAGGAAAAAGGGTGCAGTTAAAAAGTCTTACATGTTTTGACTTGCCAAGTGAAGAATCTTCGATGTTATTTTATTCTGTAAAAAATCTTGGATTAGGTCGATCGCCATTTCAGTGTTGGCTTTCTCTAGTACATCAAGGTTCTCATTTCTCTTCACAGAATTTTCCAGCCCATCTATTTCCATGTCGTGTGGTCCGCTTGGCCATTTAGACCTCTTACTAGATGTTAGTTCTAAAAGCCCTTCCTCGTCTAGGGAAGCATCAACTAGCTGCCAGACAATGGAGAAGACAAATGTAAGGAGAATACTTCCCGGCTCTTGATCTAGTACACCAAAGGTCTCAGAAAGATGGAGGATATCATCGATGGAGTTCATTGTCCTGTTCATTTTTAAAAGTCATATTAGTATGCAATGAAGAACGTAAAAGATAAGGGTTATATAATAAAAGAAGAAATAGCATTATAATTACTCAGATAGACGCCTGTAATATAGTTAAATCTTAGAGCACCCCAAAAGAAGGGAAAAAACTGAAAGAAGATACTCTTGAGCTCTAGAACTTGGTATATCCAGCATTTCAACAAGCCACAAATATTTGAGATAAGGAACTCACTTGTGATATCCTGGTCCTCTGATTTGAGGGATGAGCGAGAATGCATGGCGCTTTAGGAGTTCCAGATAGAGCCTATAGGCAGCGGGATGACGCTTTCTGTTTGGGATTACCCTAAAAATTCCAACAAAGAGAATAAAAAGGCTCGAAAAATTAAACAACAAAAACACTGAGATGGCTACGCTGAGTCTAGTCTAGTGTTGCTGTAAGATAAGTCTGTTTCAACACTCTGAGCAAGGTGATAACGAAAGAAAGAGATATGAGGGGATAGTAGTTAGCATAAATGATTGCGAGCGAGGACTAGCCACGTAAAGGAATTTCCATATAATTGATTCCAGAAGCATTGCTCTATCTAAGTATTAACTTGAAGTAGCAATCATTCAAAAGCAAAATCTAATCTAATCCCCTGTAGCAGTGTGTGTGATATATAATCAATCCTAAAGAAGAGTAAAACAAAAAACAAAACAAAAAAAGAGTCTCAAAGATGAATCAAACAATGCGAGGTCGAAAGCTGTGCAGGGAAAGCTTTTAGAAATTGAAGTTGGTGTGTCCAAATTACCTGAGGGAGAGAAGGGCGAGGACAAGTAGGGGATGGACAAGATTGACGGTAATAGATTTTTCGAGAAGCTTCCAGGAAAGAGGAGTGTGATTTTCCCAGAAGATGTGGGAGACGAGGAAGTGAGCGAGGTCCGTTGAGGGAAGGGAGATTCCAGCAGACGAGAGGGTCAAGCGAAGCTCAAGAGCCCAGTGAAGCGGATCGACGTTCTTCTCCTGGGCTGACCTAATCAGCCACGTTACCGAGTCCCAGAGACCCTGTTGGGATTCCGGCGGAGCGACGGCCATGGACGACGACTAGTCTCAATTTTGCACGAATTTTTGTTTGGGGTTTTTATTTCCTTTTAATAGAGAAGAGAAGAGAGAGATACATAGACGGTATGTATGGCAGGCAATTAATTATAGAAAATTACTTTTTATACAGAGATTGAACGAGACTACTCACCACAATAGTAGTAGTGTTTTTTGTTATGTTTGAACGAACAATACTATAATAATACCGAATAAAAGAACATGCAACTAAATAGGAGGAGAGCACTTTATACAAAAAGGTCGTTTAAATTAGAAGCCGAACAAAAGAAAAACGCAAAAGGTTAAGATCCGAGGAGAAAACGTTGGATGTTCAAGGGCGGTCAAGGCACCAGCAGCGGTACTCAGATTTGGAGTTGTGGTAGAGATCTTCTGGCTTCATCTTCTCTAGATCGCTCTGTTTCCACAAGTTGAGACCGTTCCCTTCCGCCTTTCCATGCTCTTGATCCCGCATTCTCTTGTACAGCCTCATCGAAGATACACAGTCCTCGTAAGGCTCGTGCTTCCCGCTTTGGATCTTGTATCTAACAATACACAACAGTAAGTAAACTATCCCTTTTTTACGCAAGTTAGCAAATCCCCCAATTAAGGATAACTTCCTTACTTACCCGAGATATGACCTTGTGAGGTACCTAAGTGACTGGCTTACAAGATTCGTCTTCATCAGTGGCACGTATTTTGCTGTGTCTCTGAGGCGAAGCAAAGTAAGTGACCCAGATTGGCTGGAAAGAATAAAAAAAACGGAACAGTTTGGGTGTTACCTCAACAAATGGCTAGGATATTGGAGTTTCAAGCAATTCAAATCATGCCTAAGGTCATGACCAACAAGAAGAAGCCTCCCAGCCCCATCATTATGTCCACCGCACAAGACTGCTAAAACTTTTTCTCGTACAACTTCAAGTGGCATACCGTCCTTCAAATCATCTTGGGTCAATCCAGTTACTTCGTGTCTGAACATCAGACTCACGGGTGAGAGTGATAATGAGTTACCAAGGGATCAATATTATTATATGTATAAAACAAACAAACTAGCACAAACGTCGTCTACCTGTAATCGGTGACAGGGAGTTGTGGTTGGACGTGGGTGGAGAGGATCACCTTCTCGTCTTCGTCAACCATGCAAACCGATGCGCACAGATCAATTGACCCGTCATCACCACCACCAACCATTTCACAGTCAATTGCCACAGCCTTCTTGACCTTGAGACGTGTGTTTACACCATGTGTCCTAGAAGCATTGACCTCATTCCCTTGGCTAGCTGGTCCCTGACATGAATCGATGTCAAGTCCAGAAGCAGCAAGTAAGAGAATGACACTGCTAATATTTCTCATTAAAAATCAGAAAAGACTACACTACCTAGTAAGCCTGATCGTATTTACCAAAGAAAAGAAAAGATCAAACTAACTTACAAGAGGAAGAGGTGCAGAGAGGTGACACTTGTTTGTATGCTCAGCCAGAGCAGTGGCTTCGTCAAAGATTCGAAGACAAAGGGTACAGCCTCGTTTAGAGAAAATGGCTTTGCAGTCTCCTTTGAATAGATGGTCCGGAACTGACATTGCATTGATGGAAGACTCTAACATCAAATCAAATCCAATGATGAAAAGAACAACAGAACAAAAGGATCATATAAGCCCATGCCATACCGTTAAGGTGTTCGCGAACAGACTCCAAGGATTTGCAGTGCTTGAGGCAAACCCCACACCGAGGCTGATGAACTGAATGGTGCGAAATCTTCATGTGCTCAACAAGGTGCTGGCGTCTATTGAACATCTTGTAGCACGCAACGCATCTGTGCCTGCAAGGGTCGAAAAAAATCAACTCGATTATATAAACCCTAAACACACACTTGAGTTCCAGAATTTCCATCTTCGCACGAGAACTGGAAATCAGAAAAGAAAGAGAGAAGCGAAACCTAATCTTGGGAGTTTTCCGAGAAAACGACTGAGGATCCATCTAAATCAAAGCGAGTCGCTGCCAGACGATGCGAAGATGAAACGTTACCGCCTGCCTGCTGCTGGGGTTTTAGTCGGAGCAAGCAAGGGAACAAGAGGGAGACGGACTGAGGGTTTTTTTTTTTTCATTCACAGCGATCCTTCTTTCTTTATATTGCAATATCACACCTCTAGAATACCAAAAATAACGACCATACCCCCTGGAATCTAGAAATAACAACCAACCCCTCTTGAAAACTTGAAAACAACAATTAAACCCACTATAAAAAAAAACTATAACTTGCCTTTCTTGTAAGGGGGTTTCAAATTTATTTGGTCAATGATTTCTGTTTCTGTAAGGTTCGATACCAATAGAATATGGAAACTTGTAGAGATAGATAACATATAGTATACTGAAATGACATAAAAGGCAAAACTTTTAGCATAGTATTATATTCTGTGATTTAGCCGTCTTCCATTGGTATCACTCGCTGTGCACAACTCTGTCTGCATTGCATAACAAAACAAAAAGCAGATCCAAATAATCAATTCAAAATCCCTGATATCACATTTTATTTGAACACCGTCTGGTTTCCTTCTCCGGGTTTAGAACCAGTGACTAGAGAGCATAAAGTGACAGATGAAGAATTGCAGGGAAAGCATATTCGTGTAAGCTAATGGAAGGTGACCTAATTTTGAGAATCTACAATCTTATGCTTACCGCTTATAAATCGAGGAGGATAGTGTGTTGCTAATTTTCTAATGTATATAATCTCCTCCTGAGGGAGTGACAACTGCTGGTTCTCATCTTTTGTACATAAAAAAGATACCATGAACAAAACAAAACCAAACCAATGAAGAAGAAAGAAACAGAGTGGAATCAGAATACGATCCCTTTCAGACATCACTCTTCCCTTTTTTCTTTGAAAAACTTGTTAAAGTTAACACCTTTCCTCTTTTCAACAATAAGAATCTCCCAACCCAAGCCAAGATATTTCCCCCTCAAATTTCTTCTCTCTTTTGCAGGTTGTTCCCTTTTGAAACACGTTATTCTGCAATCAACAAAGACAATATACTATATATTATAAATCACAGGTTTTTGCGTTATAAAAAGCTCGTTAATGTCACCATCTTCTCTGCACAAGCTCACTCCTCAAACTCCTTTTACTTGCTAAGCTCTCTGCATAATTTGATATCGATGGCAAAGAACTCGCAGAGTAGCAGCAAGAACCAAGAGAAGAAGAAGAAAGAAAACAGAGTGTGTGAGAAGATCTTCAGAGCAGTGACGAGTCCTGTCCGAACCGTTGGCCGCATCTCAACCAAACCTTCAGTACCGAACCACAACCAAGCGGAGGCTGTTCGCGTCAAGTTCTCAGAGACGTTGACTCAGGCATCCAAACCCATTACAAAGATCGTGCCGAAGAAAACGATGATCACTCGAGTGGAGACAACAATGAAAACGGACGAGAGGTTCAACGAGTATATAAAGAAAGCGAAACTGAGGATAAGGGCAATGACGAATCTGGGTGATATGATGAGGAACGATGCGTCGGAGACAAGTGAAACAGAGACGCGTGATCATCATCATCGTCATCATGTCCCAATCTCTCGTGTATCGAGAGAGAGTAGCAGTGGGAGATCAGATCATTTCTCTGAGTACATAAAGAAGGCGAAGATGAAGCTCTTGGGATCCTCTTCCACCATCGCTCGTGCGAACTCAGCTTACGATTCTTTCAAGGTCGTCAAGGATTGATGAATTCAGGTGAAAGTTCTTGGTCTTGGCTTGCTCCTTATATCAGAAGATATCATCGATTATGAAATATGTTATCCATGGTTTGAAAATTATATTGACAAGAATGGATATGAATTTGTTGTATTTATGAAAAGTGAAAACCCAATATATAATATTTGATCAATTAAAAAAAAGTTTCAAAACAAACATTGTTTAATTATGTTCTAAATTTTGTTTTTTCCTATTTCTATTTTTTTTTTCGGCAGCTCAGGTTGTAATATTGTTCTTGACTCAAGTTTGTTGTTGAGAAGTAAACAAAATAAAAATAGGGAAAAGCAACGTTTGTTGTTGCTATCTATTACTTTAAGTAGTGGGGCTTGTAGCTGAATAAAATGTACAAATTATCGCATGGACTCTGTCTGAGACTCTGAGTAAATCGTTAATGGTAGGTAGTAGATAAAGCCCATCAAATGTGATCCCCCAAGGCTTTGTTGATATGATTTTTTCAGTCCAAGATAATAATAATAATAATGTCAAAGCTTGTAATAATGAGATGACATGCACGATCGTTAAATCCGTCATAAAATAATACTCCGATCTGCTCTGAATGGGCTGTACTTGCGAAGCTTTTTGTTTTAAGTAACATTGACAATGATCTCTAACTTCTACTGAATATTCAATTTCAAACGATAACTGTTTTTTTTGTCAATTTTAATGCCATTCATTCGAGCCCCCTTAACCAAAAAGGGCAGATTCTATTGAGATTTCGTTTTCTTATTTTACTCAAATCCTTGCTTAAACACGATTTATATAGCTGCTTATCGCTAAAATAATACAAAATTGAAATACAGTGTTTTCTTCCCTTTTTTGGTCATCAAATACAATGTTTCACGTTTTATTCGAAAACCTACATTGAACTAATAAAAAATTAAAAGAATACTAATTTGTTGTTGAGGCCATGATAAAACGCAGAAAGTCCCCATTCGACGATCAAGAGTCAAGTTTGACTCCAGATGCATCATATGTACTGCTCTTACTATAAAAATAGTATTAGTATGATAATAAAATCAATAAAACGAATCTCATGAAAATGCATCTCTATATGTGTCAACTAAATCTGATGTTGCCAAAATGGCCTGATTAAAAAAGGAACAGAAAAACTCGAAGACGCCAAATTTTATAAAATATTTAAACTAGTTTTCTTGTCTTAGGAAAGGACGAAAAAGAAAAGACAAGTCAGATAGTAGCCACTCTTTGTTTTTAGCAGCTTGACCAAAGTAACTGTATTTTTATAATTTAGCATTTTATTGTTCAAAAAATGCAAAATGTTTGTTTATGTTTAAAAAAAAAGCAAATGTTTGTTTATGTTTTTAAAAAATGCAAATGTTTGGAAGAGTAAACACATAAAGAAAACACAGACCGATGTTTGTTTTGGCTAAATAATTTGTAATATCAGTATGGCAATGGCCAGTCGGTTTAAGTTTTTTTGTTTGTAAAGAACAAATAAGAGGAAGAAAAGAAAACTATTCGAAAAACAGTAACTATTAAAAATCGGAAATATTTCGATCGAGCAACGTAGTCGACATTGTGTAAGCGAGGAGCCGATGATAATGGACGGTGACACGATAGCTGAGTCATCAAGACTCCACGTTACAAACGGTAGCTGGTCCTTTATGATGACTTCTTCTAATATAAAATTTATATTCGCAATTATTCAACTAAATAATATACTGTACATCGTTTTTTTGTTGTGATTTCATTTGTGACAGTGAGACCAATCCCAACCCAAAAGCTCTTTTTGTTTTGTTAATTCATTAATATGTTTTCGGGTTCATGCATACAGAAAATAATACTAGTTTGTTATAGGTGCACGCGTTGAAAATGCAGAAATGCAGACCTTTTCTACTATATAATATGAAAATTGGCTAGTTATAGAGAAATCCACCCACCAACTCAATGAAACCTCTTGGTGCTTAATAAAAACGTAAAACAATGTGTGTTGGAATCGGAAAACCGTGAAATGACGCCCTTGTAGTTTATAGACTTATAGCAGACTAGGATGAGTTTATTATAATGTGATACTAGCTAGTATAGTATATGTTAGTTATAGGTGTAAATAATAATAAATTTGAACGCGAATCTTTTTTTAGTAAGACTTATAACAAATTTTGGGTTGGGTTTGATTTTTGTTACCATTAAAAGGTTGTCACGTATGGCGGCATTGGGTACGGTATGAACCATGATGTTAGTTTCCTCTCTTGCCTTAAAATTTTTCTTTTATTAATATTAGTCAACGCTTTTTTTGTTGATGTATATTTTGAAAGGGTAAAACGGAGAGCCATTCTGAGACGGTGGTTTCCTACTTTCCTCAGGCTCTTTTACTGTTTCTGAAGCCAATATTCAATAATGGTAAATTAAAAAAAAAAAAAAAAAAAAGGTAACTAGGTTCACCATGATGGGGATACTTGTAATTTTGCGCCTTTCCGCAGGACAAATCCGCCTGCAATTTGGAAATAATAATAAAAAAGATTGATAACAGAAAGAGAGAAACCAAAAAAAAAAAAAAAAAGCTGAATGGAGCCGAGACGAGCTGCGTATAATTGGGTTGGTCTTTGGCTTTTCTGGCAAGCGAAAGGCTGAGTCGAAGAACGACTTGTTCCATCAATTCTGTTTCATCTCTCAGTGATATTATAATTCTTTTTTATTTGGTAAAAATGATCTCTAAATAATTCCCGAGTGGCAATAAATACGCTCTAGAAGACGCTTTGGCTAACATTGTATCAAGTATAGGAGGATTCCTTTTGGATTCAAAAATATATATATATATAAAAAAGTTTTGATGGCATCACGGAACGTTGCTCCTCCGGTTCTACTGTCCGAAACGGCGGCGAAAGAGGTGATGATAACGTGGTTTCGAGGGGAGTTCGCGGCGGCGAACGCCATAATCGATGCGCTGTGCGGACACCTGATACAGATATCAGCGGCGGAGGAATGCTACTCGGGAGTGATGGCAGCGATTCATCGGCGGAGGATGAACTGGATCCCACTGCTCCAGATGCAGAAGTTCCATTCTATCTCCCAAGTCACGCTCCACCTCCAATCTGCCACCACCAAAATGATGATGATGAAGCACGGTCATGATGATGATCATGATGAGGAGGAGGAGACCATATGTTGCAACCACGAACAAGAATGTGATCAATCCCTCTTGAAGCTCTCCAAGCGTTTCTCCGCCAAGGAACATGTTAGAGGACATACGGCAAGTTCCTTTCCTCCTATCCTTCGCCTTTGTTTTCAAGATTTATTTAAGAGCTCTCGTGTTAACTAAGAGAATGTTGCTTGTGGCAGACGAATGTTGTCAAAGGGCTTAAACTCTACCAACATGTCTTCTCTGCAACTCAACTCTCCAAGCTTTCTGATTATGTGAATGGGCTCCGAGAGGCTGGTCGGAATCACGAGCTTCCAGGTGACCACCCTCATCTGCCTTTTTCTTTCAAATTTAGTAATGCCGAATGCAGGAGAGAACATTCATTTTACATAAGAGAGTTTCCCAAATGCAGGGGAGACGTTTGTTCTGTTCAACAAGAACTCCAAAGGAACCAAAAGAGAGCTTATTCAGCTTGGATTTCCCATTTTCGGCAACACCACGGACCAACACTCCGGTAAGAGACCCAGCGGCTTCACTACGTTACGTTACGTTACGTACCTCGATCTCTTAGTCAGTCTTAAATGGCTCGTGCTCTTGCAGTGGCACCTATCCCAATCCTTCTTCAAAGTGTGATCGATCATCTTCTTCAGTGGCGCCTTATTCCTGATTACAAACGACCCAATGGCTGTGTGATCAACTTCTTTGACGAGGTAACTTACTACTAATTTATATTTCCAGATCATCAACATATCTCTATTCTCTCCATCCGCCTAGGCTATGTAATAAGGTTTGAGTTTGTTTGCAGGAGGAACACTCCCAACCATTCCAGAAACCACCTCACGTGGACCAACCCATATCCACTCTTGTCTTGTCTGACTCAACCATGGTGTTTGGACACAGGCTCGGGGTCGATAATGATGGCAACTTCAGAGGCTCACTCACTCTCCCACTAAAGCAAGGGTAAACACGCTTTTATTTTTCCCAAACTACGATGACTCAGATTTGTATCATGCATAGTACCCCGCGCGAGTTTTCGTGTTTTTCTTCCCTTAAAAATCGAATGTGGCAGGTCGTTGCTGGTCATGAGAGGTAACAGTGCAGATATGGCTAGGCACGTAATGTGTCCATCACCAACCAAAAGAGTCGCAATCACCTTCTTTAAACTCAAACCAGACTCCTGTAAGGTCCAGCCGCCGCCGCCAACCACTAACCCAGTCACCCTATGGCGACCAGACACGCCGCCTCTAAACCCATACAGCATGGTCAGAGCTCCAATGGTGATGCTATCTCCGTACCCCAAGAGGCTAGACGCCGGCACTGGAGTTTTCTTGCCGTGGACACCGCCAGTACTGTCAAGAAAACCAGCCAAGCATCTCCCGCCGCGCGTCCAGAGGCTGCGTCTCCTCTCATCAGCCAAGTCGGTGGCAGATCGTGAATCCTCGTCGCCCGAGATCGGAGTGGCGAGCTGAGTCGGAAGCTGGCACACACACACGTTTTTTTTTTTTTTTTTTTTTAACGAGTCTTTTGGTTTCCTTGTGGTTTATTGTTTCTTCCTAACATTTTCTTCCTTTTTAGTTACTTAAACTTAATAGATGAAAAATTAGGGTACAATTATGCGACATCAACTGTTATTACATGATTCACAGGGAACTAGTGCACGGTACTTTGAATTACGTACAGTATATGAATTAAAAATATACCCCACTTGCCAGAAAATTTTCCAAGCTTCAATCAAGTAAAGAAGAAACTTGATTAAATTTGCCTAAACACGAATATTCTTGCAACCGCTTTTCAGAGTAAAGCAAAAGAGTTCGAAGAAGAAACCAGAGATTCTGTTTTCTTTCTTCTCATACGGATATAACGAACGACAGATAGCTTCCATTGGCTCAATCTCCCCGTTTGACAAAGCGTAGAATCAAAGCAAACCCGATGTCCTACTCATTTCTTCATATACTACACCTAAACCACTCCTCTAACACAAGAATCCCATTGAGGAAAGAAAACCCTTTTCTGGTTCTTTGGTCTTCTTTTCGAAAGAGAATGCGTGGAAGAGAGGAGGATGACAGCAGCAGCTCTCTGCGGCCTCCGGGTATTTGCCGACGGTTGTTTAGATTTGTGGTGGCTAAACTAGGGATATTAGGAGAAAAGGAGATGAATGAAGATAAGAGCGAGAGGAACAAACTGATCAAGAAGGGATCACGATCTGATATCACTATTCATTTCAAGCAAATAGAAGACTCTGAGGATGACGGCAAACGCAAGAACAATTCCCCTGGCTCGTCAAGCCAAGAATCAGAGAGAGAGACAGTGATCACACTGGCTAATGGTAGTCACGGCCCAAAGAAGAGGTTACATGACAAGGGGAAGAAGAGCATGCAGAGTGTGCCGAGCCCTAAGCAACAAATCACTCAGCCTGAAGCAGGGAAACCACCGCAGCCTCATCGACGTCTGAGGCCCCTTCTAAATGACATAAATAAGAAATCCGATGCTTTTATTGAGAGCACACTCGAGAAGATGAGAAGAAGCTTAGCCTAGAACCAAATTACATGAAGAAGAACCAATAGACACTGGGATGCAATGAGTTATCCATATAGCTCATAATTCTTTATTTTTTAAAAAAAAATTACCAGCTGCATTCTTGATAAGATAATGTATATGTACTCGCACTTGTATTTTTGAGAAAAAGTTATCCATCTCAGAAATCTATGATTTACAAGAATATTCCTTAAGGGGATTGCTCATATTTCCTTGTAGAGCAATGTTCAAATTCGTTTGCCTTAAACCCAGGTACCTTGAATATTCGATATGCTCGCGAAGACAAAGAATCTTCTTCGTTCAGTAATCCCATCACGAGTAACTCTATCTCTACTCTGTTCTTTCTAGCCATCCGAGCTGTAGTAAGAGTAAGAAAATGGAAAGAAAAAACTAATGTGAGCCATCACAAAAAGAAACCGCCCAATAACCATAGTTCCAACTCTAAAGGAAGGAGCCATACCTTCCAGGCATACATTGCAAAGAAGGCAACTGTGTCAGCAGACCAGACAAGAGGAAAAGATTTCCAAAAGAAGGGTATAGCAACATTGAGTAAGGGGATGATCAGAAAAAGATAGTTAAGAGCCTCTTTCTCTTTACTTGGACAGTCTCGAGCACGAAGAGAAGGAATAGCTGCCAAGAATAAAGAGAAGATTAGAGGGGGAAATTGAAAGTTGAGATTTTTATTTGTGAAGGCGACTTACTGAACATCCAAATAGACCACATCCCCATCAACCTCCATATGTCAGGTTCGTTGGAGGGAAAGAGGAGGTTGAAAGAAAGAACCCCTCCCACCAACATTGATGCATATCCTTGAACCTCAAACACTTTGTAAAGAGTGGTTCCAGGGACAGCTGGGTTTTTACTGGCGGTGGACGCCCTTGGGGCAAAGGTCGCTGCAGTCTTGTTAACGACCTGCTTGAATTGACAAAATTCATTAGCTTGAGGAACTTCCTTGTAATGGTGAATAACAAAAAATGGCACCTTTTTCAAGTCTTTGCCGAGTGCAGACGGCGAAGAGGACGAGGAAGTGAGAGGAGATTCCGGTTTATCGGTTTCGAGTCTAAGTTCCTCCTCGGCAGCCTCCACTGGGTCAGAAGTCGCGCGAATTCGGAGACTTGTAGAACTGAGTCGTGTACGGCGAAACACATGTCTGAGATTGGAGTTAGGCGCAAGAGAAATCGAAATCGAAGCGTGAGAGTGAGACGAAGAGGTTAAGCACCACCTCATCCTCCTAAATCGCGATAAACAACTCAACTGGAATGGACGGCTTTCATTTGGGATGATTTGATTTGATTTGATTTGATTGCTGTACTGAACCGGTGCAATGCTAACCGAGTTCCGGATCCAAATCGAGATAAATAAAATATAAATATCATATTCGATACCGGAAATAAATATCTGAATTTTGTATGTTCAAGTTATGCCATTGTAGGAGTTGTGTGAAGCTCTCACTGTCAATTGAACCTAGCCCACGTCGGTTTAGCGTTTTGTCGGGTGTATGTATCTACGTGTATATGCTATGCCCAAAGGCGCTAAATATAAAACTATATTTCTTTTGATTCCTTCTTCTGAGTTAAAAGCTTCTCTTTTCTTTTTTTTTTTCCGTTTTTTATGCTTCTGTATTTAGATTCCCAGTTTCCAATTGTCAATTTTTCAATCCACCTTCAAATTCAGCAGCTAACTTTTCGGGAAAGATTTGAGCTTGTTACAATTTGTGCGAATTGGAATTTTTGATTTCTTCTTCTCCTCCGCGGGGGAACGAAAACTTTGGTCTCCGGAGTGGAATTTTGATTTCTTTGGAATTCCAAGTCGGAGCTGGAGAGGGGATCTATTGAATTCGATGAGAATTGGGATATGGTGATCGTTAAGACAAGGTTCTCATGGCGAGTTTTCTGGTCGGCTTCTTGTTGCCTTCGCTACTTCTAGCAGGTAGGATTCTAATTCTATCTTCTTACTTGCGCCCAAAATGCTTGAACATCTTAGACTATCGCTCGATTTGGAGGAATTCAAGTAAACAACGAGGTGCAGCAAAACCTAACTTTCCTATTGGGCTACCCTAACCTAATCTTAGTCTATTCCCCCTTTGTCTTCTCGAGACCTTTAGCGCTTTCACTGATTCATGAGACACTTACACTTGAACACTGTAATACCTCTGGGCTCTAGCTTTACTCTATCAAGGCTCAAGGATGTGAGCAATAATCCCAACTGTTTCCATGAATGAGCCTAGTTCTTTTATGGTTATGGTATCATATATATGGATTTGCATTTTTGAAGGGTGCTACTATCATGCAGTTTATGTGCCACAGCGTAGAGATTTAACATTTTCCCAGAGACGCATGAGCTTTTCTTTTCCTAATTATTTTTTCTTGTGTCACAGCTGCACTTATTAACTGGAGTGTGATATCCTTTGTTGATTTGATAGCTTTCCTCCTCGTTCACTATATTGCACCTGAAATTGGTAAGCCTATTTTCTAGTTCCCTTATCTCCCTTCTATCCAGGTTTCTTGTCTCTGATCTGATAAACAGCTTCAACCCCAATGTTTCAACTGCGATAGACATATCTCTTATCATTGATTTGGGGCGACGTGATTGAAATGTTTTTATGCCCTGGTCAAATACATCTGCATTATCCTGGACAAAGAAGTTTTCCTGTTCCCAGTTTACATGGCTTTTATCGGTTATGGTTGATATGGTAATGTTTACTTTCTCAAACTTGCATCGTGTCGTGCTTTCTTTTGCCAGGATACCGTTTTCAGAGGAGGCATTGGCTATTATGGCCCATTTTCATCTTTTCCTTTGCAGTACTTCTTGCTCAAGTGGTGTACCTTGTCATTTGGGCTGCCGTAGGACAAGACTGGGATACAGCAGATACTGGCTGGATGAGTGTTATTGGCTTTATGATGTAAGAGTTAGTCTCCATCTTTTCTTCATCCTACTGCCTTATAAATATCGACTTCTTAGTTGATACTCTCTTGTGTTTGGTTTTTGCAGATTAAAGTCTTGGAGAAACCCCACTGCTATGTATTTCTTGGCTTTACAACTACTAACATCGCTAGTTGCTTTAGCTGACATATACAGTAGTAGATTTGGCTTCGTTCGATGGCGAGACACATGGTGGTCTCACTTTTCAGGATTTTTCGAACAGCTAGGTTTGTAATTAATGTACTAGGCCCGTACGACTTGTCCAAACAGTTACTGTAACTTTTTTCTCATTTGTGTTCATCTAGTTAAGTAATATCTATTTTAAGAAGGAGAAGCACTTCTGCATAATACCATATTCTATTTCTATTTTGATGTCAACTATCTCAATTGTTTATGACTCAGGAAGTCATCTTAGGGTTGCCTCCTGCTTGCTGTTACCAGCAATTCAATTGGCAGTGGGAATCTGCAATCCATCATGGGTATCTTTGCCTTTTTTTATTGGCAGCTGTGCTGGTCTTGTTGACTGGTCCTTGACAAGCAACGTTTCAGGACTTTTCAGGTGGATAAATTATTGACCATTATGCAAAGTTAGCGCTTCCCAACCTTGCTTCTCTGAACTGCAGTCGTTTTTTGTATGTTTAAGGTGGTGGAGAGTTCTATATATCTACGCAGGATTCAACATTGTCCTGCTTTACCTCTATCAACTACCAATAAACTTTTCCGATTTGATTCGATGGATGGCAAGCTTCATAGGTCTATTTAGAATCTCCGCTGAAACTGAAGGCCCTGATATTTGTTCTGGTCTTTTCCTTTTGTTGTTCTACATCATGGTATGTCCTTTTTTCTTTTTACGATTAGTACTGCGTGCTCTCGCACAAGTTTAAAAATTGATACTTGTCTGCGAACACCAACAAACCATGTAGTTTTTCCTTCTAGTTAAATTGGCTTATCCATCTTGACCTGTTAAGGAGGAACCACACTATTATATCTGCAGTAGTCTTACATGCCTGTCTTTCTGCGATTGCAGCTATCCTATGTAAGGTCAGACCTCGAGGATATGGACTTTATCATGTCCACGAGTGAAAATAACTTGGCAGAGCGGCTTCTTCCTCCAAAATATTCGTTTTTTATTCGAGAATCAAGGTATGTTGTATAGATTTTTGTTTTGTTTCTTTCTACAGGGAGCTGTTGTGGTGTTTGACACAGTATTTCAGCGTTGAGAGGAAATTTTATTTTGTCTGTTTAAAATTCTCTCACTGATTTTTCGTAGTTTATGACTCTGAAGCGAAAAAGGAAAGCTTGGTTGAATATGCTCACATGATTTTATTCGTTTTATGGTCGTAGACTAGTAGATACTGTCCTGCTTTGATTCATAGAGCTATAATCCATGGCTATGGGATTTTTTAGAACAATCATGTAATTTTCTGGTGATCCCTAGGCTGTGTACGAAGAGTTTTAGTTGACAAAGAAGAAGCTGGTTGGACGCTTACTTTAGTGGGACCAATTTGATTTATGAAAAAAGTCTCCAAAAATGTTGAATCTCTTTGGTTTTCGGTATTCAAGGGGCCGGCAGTACAAAATCTTGAAACTTGGACACTGAAACTTTTGTTTTCAGCGAAACCAAAAGTCGTGTGATTGGTTAATCTGCTAGCATAAACTACTGAGGTTAAAATTACTCTCGTTCAGAGTACAGCTAGTTCAGACAATTTAATGGATGTTCTGATGTTCTCTTGACTGGGCTTTACAAAATTAGTCATGTAAATGTATAATAGTTATTCTCAATTTAATGTGTTAATTTTCTTCGAATTTTCAGGGCCGGTGTAAGGCACACCAATGTTTTACTTAGGGGAGCTGTATTTAAGACTTTCAGTATCAATTTCTTCACATATGGTTTCCCGGTATATATTTGGTATCAAAGTGTATGTGTAAGCTCAAGCAACATATAGTGTCCAGAAACTCACACTCTCTTTTTATTTGCTTCCATGATTGCCAGGTCTCTTTGTTTGCTCTTTCGTTCTGGAGTTTTCATTTTGCGAGCTTGTGTGCTTTTGGCCTCCTTGCATATGTTGGTTATATTATCTATGCATTCCCGTCGTTGTTCCGCTTGCACAGATTAAATGGCCTTCTTCTCGTATTTATACTCTTATGGGCTGTCAGTACATACATATTCAACGTGGCATTTTCTTTTCTGAATACTAAGGTTGGAAAGGTAATATCTTCTCTATGTGCAAATTCAAGCATTTTGAAACAACTAAGATGTAATTCAACCAGTGTCGTAAATATGCAGGACATGAAAATTTGGGAGATGGTGGGACTTTGGCATTACACTATTCCTGGATTCTTTTTGCTTGCACAATTTGGTTTGGGGATGCTGGTTGCATTGGGTAATCTTGTGAACAACTCTGTTTTTCTCTACCTGTCCGAAGAGAGCTCCAGATCTTCCAATGACAGATCTTATGTTGAAGGTAATGGTCTCGTATATGCTTCTGCAAAGCAAGTTATATGCTGTTTTCCAACTTCCAGGCTTGTCAGGACCTCTAATATTGAGAAAAATGGGGTGTAATTGTTTATTGCGATCAACCTATCATCTTTTCTGCTGCACGTGACTTGAAAAATCCGAGACATTTTAAGAGTTACCACTTTATCCAAAATATGTTTTGAAGAAAATATTCATCACGGAAAATATTTATCTACTCTGCGATTTTGACTGTGAAAAGCTTAAGAGTATTATTTTCTTTGGTAAAAACTTAGTTTGTTTCGTACTTATTTTGGGTAGCAATTCCAATCTTCTCATTTTATTCAAGTTGAGAACTGTTCTTAACGGCTGAGACCATCCTCAATCACAGCTGATGAAGAAACAAAGGTGTTGGTCGTCGCCACCATTGCTTGGGGATTGCGGAAATGTTCACGGGCTATTATGCTTGCACTAATTTTCCTCATTGCCATGAAACCTGGGTTTTTCCATGCAGTGTATGGTATGTTTGTTCCCCTCCTAATAATTAGAGTTCATAAATCTGGGTGTTTGTCTACCAAAAAAAAAAAAAAGAAATTGTTGACGATACTATTTCCTACTGAACTTATTTTTCAGTGATATTCTTCCTTATGTATCTGTTGAGCCACAACATCAACAGAAAGATACGCAAGTCCTTGATTCTTCTATGCGAAGTTCATTTTGCACTTCTCTACATTCTTGAGATCGACCTTGTGTCGAACTCCTTAAAGCGGGAAGGCTTTGTGAGCAGAGAAATTCTGTTTCAGTTGGGTACGCTTCTCTTTGTGTATCTTCCAAGTTATGGACTAGATTCACGTATAATCAGTTTCCTTTCAAAGTTAGCAAGGTGATCTTAGATTAA